GTTCCTTTTCTATAATTATGATTCTTTTTTCCCTTCTCGAGGACTTATCCGTGTTGATCACCCAATCAGAAGGCGCTTCCATTCGAAGGTGAACATTACAGCTACATCGATTCTTATGCGCAATTACAGACATTGGTGGTCGTTTCAATAATCGCTTAAGATCCTTTTCACAGTCCCATCAGTCACCATGCATCAGAGAAAGAGAAACACGTGATTATTAGTTTCCAGCTGGCTGCTGTGACATGGCGTGAGAGCACTTAGCCACCGTCTTAGGCCGTCGTTTTGCTAGCCGTTCTTTGGGGATTACAGTACTCGGTGAATTGGCTGCTGAGTGCAATCTGCAATGAACTGCTGACAAAAATTTGATCCCTTACCCATATCTGGACCTATACCTTTGGTGTGCGGAAAAAGAATAAATTCTTGCAGAAAAACCCATCCACTGACCGATAATTTAGTATTTTACTTACTTTAACAATTTGAACGTAAATATTTGACCTGAAACAGAATCGTTGAAAAATCCGTACAACGTTCCCTGCCAGGTCCTCCTTCAAAAAGACATTCAGTGCGTTCGATGAAGAGGCTAGAAAGCTACAGCTGAGGTGGTTGTGCAGTTGTACGCGAACTCTCTCGTTTTCTTGTACAGGTGGTCTTCGCCTCCTTTGTGAACAACGATTCCGTCAGTGCCGACGTACAGTTTAATTTCACTCTCGCCCAGAGGGTTGCCATCAGCATAGATGATAACCTGGGCGCCCATAGTGTGCAGTGCCGATGCGGCCGAAACAGCTTTCAACCAGGGATCGTTTGAATTGCCATCGGTGAACATGATGATCAGTTTTCTAGAGTGCAGCCGTCTCGCGAAGTCGAACTGTCGCATCGCCAGGGCAACGGCGTCCGCGGTTTCCGTGACTCCGCCTTTCAGCTCCAGGTTTTGGATTAGCCGAACTACGCTTTCGGTCGTCTGGTCAACGTCGAACCACTGACGGACGATTGCATACGTACTGTACTGAATCAGGCTGACCAACGTCGCGGTATGGCTTATCGGAACGGTCTCGATCACTCTGCTGGCTATCCTCTTGTATTCGTCGAAAACCGGCTCTGAGCTACCCGAGCTGTCCATCAAGATCACAAGGTCGACTTCTGTTTGTATACACGTAGTTAAGTCTAAAGTTATAAAACAGATTAGCATATAGGAACAGTGGACAGAATAGCAGAATTCCGACAATGAATTTAGAGTCAGCATTAAGGTAAAAGTTTTTTTAAGTTTCTGGTATTGGACAGTTTAATATTACGAGGTTTTATCGAATAATAGCTCGAACAAAGCCATGGTCAGCTATAGGCTATAAGTCACTGCATTTAAAAGTCATGAATTAGGTAGGCTATAGTCGCTGAATTTTCGCAGGCTGCGTCAGTTCCCTAGCAACCTGCATGGACCTTAGTAACCTCAGCAACAATGATGCTGCTAGAACTTTCGATTGTGGCAATGCTTTGAAAGGCAGCTGGTTAAGTTTCACGTTGTTCAATAAGACTAACAGGAAGGGGACATGAATCACGCGAAACATGGTGACGTAGAAAGAGATTGACTTCGTCCTTTTCGATAAACAGAGCATCCTCTGAGACTTAGCAACAGTGCAATCATTTAACCCCGGCAGTGGCCACAGAATGGTGCGGGTGAGGCTAACCTTCGAGAAGAAGACCAAGAGGAAGGCACTGCATATGGAACACAGGAGACAACGACCGAACGTATTCGGATGTGGCGGTCCAAGCATGCATTTCCAGCGAAGATTGGAGCCTAAAAGACAGCTGCGACGACGACTACGAGAAGTACACTGAAAAATTAGGAGCTGGGTAAGGTCAGCTGAA